TTCTATCCCTCTGTTAATGCAGCCTAGCACTGTGTTGGCCTTTTTGGCAGCTGCAGCACACTGCTGGCTCATATTTAGGTGATTGTCCACTAGGACTCCAAGGTCCCTCTCACAGTTACTACTATTGAGCAAGGTGCCACCTATGCTGTACTTGTGCATTTGGTTTTTCTTGCCTAAATGTAGAACCTTGCTTTTTTCATCATTGAATTTCATTTTGTTAGATAGTGCCCAGTGTTCAAGTCTGTCCAGATCCTTCTGTATCTTAAGCTTGTCTTCTGGAGTGTTGGCTATTCCTGCCAGCTTGGTGTCGTCTGCAAATTTGATGAGTTCCCCATCTATCCCTTCGTCCAAATCGTTGATGAAGATGTTGAAGAGCACTGGGCCCAGAACAGAGCCTTGGGGCACCCCACTACACACTTCCCTCCATGTAGATGCGGTTCCATTGAGGACCACTCGCTGAGTATGGCTGGTCAGCCAGCTACGGATCCATCTGGTGGTGATGCTGTCTACCCCACATTTTTCTATCTTCTTGACCCCACATTTTTCTATCTTGGTATTGGGTATTTTCTATCTTGGTATTTCCTGGTATTGGGAGCTAGGATGAATAATCTTCCTATGAATGTGTATGAATGTGAGCCAGGTCACTGTTAATGATGTTTGCTTTTACATTTGAATCATTTTTTTTGTCTAGTTCAGAGAGGGCTGTAAACCATCCAGACTTACAATGTAAATTAGGCAGCCATATAAATTCCCAATGTTTCAGTGTTCGCACATGTCCAACGTTCTACTCTGCAAATTATTTTTTAAATGAAAATCTCAACTTGTTTTTGCAATTTCCTCTGCTTAACACCATTTTATATGCAATTATTCACTCTTCTGTGTCAACTTTGCCACAAGCAGATATCAAAGAGATATCTTTCCCATATAAATACTGTTCCACACAACTTCTGAATCAAGAATAACAGAGGACACAGTGCTCCAAGAGTTACTTCCATATGGAGATGGTGGATTTCTTCCACAACCCAGTTCAGAGTCATCTGCTTTCCAAATCCCCCCAAAATGCTCATTTCGACCCATTTTGAGCCAAATTTATTTCAGCTTGGGACAGATAAGTCATACAGTTGCAACAGTTTAATCCCTTCATAGTATTTGACATCCCATCTCTCTCCTGACCACAAATGGACATATTACAGGATTTGGTACGTCACTGCTTAAAAACTTTTAGTAATACCTGATTTATCCATTGTTTTATTACATTCAACTTGCATTGATTCACTGCATCAAATATGCAACTCTAATACGCAGATGTTTTCCTGTTCTGGAATTCTATGGCTCATCACCCTCTTCCCAGTTTCTAAGAATCTAACTTCTCGTGAAAAGAATTGTCTGAGAGAAGGGCAGCAAATAAATAATAAATAAATGTCAATGGGGAAAAGCCAAGATTCTCCTTTCTGGGCATTCCATGTGTATTTGAGATCCTGGAAAACATGGTCTTTCATTAATTGCTTTAATTTTGCTACTATCCTTTACTTCTTACACAGTAACTGATTGTTAAGGCCTGTTAATGAATCTCTCCTCCCAGAAGATAATGTTTTTCAGGCCTGCCTCTTCGATCCCAAACTCATTATTATGGCTACACATACACAGTGCACATGTCCTTGATCAGTATACTCCATCAGTCTGGGAACTAAGCACAGCTTCAAGAGGGACACACATGGAGCAAGTGAGAGAGGAAGAAGACACCCACCTAACCAGCCAGTTCAGCTGAATCAACCTTAGCAATCAATGGAGAGATTGCTCCAAAAGAAAGACTAGGGGGGACATGACAGCAGTATTCCAGTATTTGAGAGGCTGCCACAGGGAGGAAGGGGTTAATTTATTTTCCAAAGCCCAGAAGGCAAGACAAGAAACATGGATGGAAACTAATCAAGGAGAGAAGCAACCTGGAATTAAGGAGAAACTTCCCAACAGTGAGGACAATTAATCAGTGGAACAGCTTGCCTTCTGACGTTGTGGGTGCTTCATCACTCAAGGATTTTAAGAAGAGATTGGACAGCCACTTGTCTGAAATAATATAGGGACTCCTGCTTGAGTAGGGGGCTGGACTAGAATACCTCCAAGGTCCCATCCAGCTCTATTCTGATTAGATAGATGTTGTAGTCAGATCATCCTCATATCCCATAAACACACACAATCAGGCTGTGATTACTATTTTGCATTCCTTCATTTCCTTAACCAGGACCCCATAAAAATGATAACAGGTCTGGGAAGAGTCTTTCAAAGTGGCAAATGTGAAATTGGCAGATACAACAAACTGCTCTCCTGAACACAGTTTATGTTAATGTAGGTAAATAGTTTCAGACCAAGCATATCGATTCAACTGTTTCCCCCTTCTTTGGAGAGTAGAAACGTACCTCCCAAGTCCTAGAAAGGCGGCTGATAGCAGAGTGGCTCAGGCCAAACATCACAGCAAAGAAGGAATTCAGGTTCCTTTGGTCTTTTAGGCTGAAACCAAAAATACAGAAACACCATTCAGCCAAGGAGGGAAATCCCAAACAAAATTGATTATAAATTGCAAGAGTTTCCAAAGGGAAAAACAGCAGAGGCTCCATTCATAGAGCATCAAGTTCTCTCCCATGGAAAGAATTATTTTTTTTTTCATTTTCAGAGGTCTCCAAAAAGTCAATCAGGATCTACAAGGTGAGGTTTCGATGCTTGAAGGGAGAGAGTCATCCTAATGGTTAATAACAGCAATAGCACAAGGCAGGGAGAGACAACCTGCTTTTTATGGATGACATCTCATTCAATCCCTTCCTTGCCTTTGGTCAGGTTGGCTGGTTTCCTGAATTACATGGTTTTAAATTAGAAAGTTCAATGAAGAAACCAAAAATGGAATTTTCTCTGAAAGGAATATAAACTATTCTCTGGGGAGAACACATTTACCAGCTGATACTAAAAGGTATCTTATTGCTTAATCATTTTTGTCTTGACTGATAGACCTCAAGGAGTTCATAAAAAGGCATTAGATCCTGTAAGCATACAGTCTACCCACTTCTGACTCAATATTTTCGTAATTAGTAGATTCTTACTGCGCAGCCAGCTTGATGAATTTGCGGAGCAGCTGGGCTCTTTTGATAACATCAGGACAAAGGCAGAGCTCAGTGGTGATCCAGAACTGCAGCTCATTGAAACGACGCAGGAAACGCTCCACGTTGACTGTGGTTGCACTGGGAAATTTCTGTGACCCAACCACGTAGTAAATCAACTCCACCTTAAAAAGAAAAAGAAAAAAAAGCACAACAGTCAGGAAATTTCTCCCAAGCTCCAGTCCTAAGACACAAGGCCTTGCCTTAATTTCTCTTTCAAATGACCATGCTAATGGCTAGATCTCTGCTTGCAATAGTTAACAAAGCAACAGTCAGAAATCTCAGCTCATTACCAACAATGATGGGTGAATAACTCATGGCAAGATTGGGAGCATTAATCCTTGTAAGCAAATGGAATGGAATGGAATTTATTGGAATGGAATAGAATTGGGATAGAATTGGGATAGAATTGGGATAGAATTGGGATGGGATGGGATGGGATGGAATAGAATAGAATAGAATAGAATAGAATAGAATGGAATAGATATTGGAATGGAACATTGGAATGGAACACTGGAGTGGACTGGAGTGGAGTGGAATGGAGCGGGGTTGGACAGAAGGAATGGAATGAAACACAACAGAACAGCATAAGGAAAACAGGATAAGAATAGAATTTGGAATGGAACAGAATGGAATGAAATGGAACAGAATAGAATATTGGAATGGAATGGAATAAGAGTGGAGTGGAGTGGAGTGGAATGGAATGGAATGGAATGGAATAGAATAGAATAGAATAGAATAGAATAGAATAGAATAGAATAGAATCTCTTAAGAGATTCTTTGATTGGGCTGTTAAAGAATCTCTAAGACCACCCCCACCCAACACTGACAGGGCAAGACACCAGAATATAAACTGACAGCAAACAGCACTCCTTACTAGCAATGATGACATTACCTAGTTTGGATAATGAAGAGTCTGCAAGAAAACATGCAAGCTCAGAGAACACCAAGGACCCCTCATTTCAACCTTGAGCTACAAATATTATCCTTTATTAATAGAACTTCCTTACCTGATGGAGGCTTTTGAAGAGGTTCCAGTCATGTTCAGTGATCTGATTAGCCAGGTCCTTTGAACTAATGAAATCCAAACTTTCCCAGGAACCAATTCTGGGACCAAGCTGTTCAGGGTGAGGCGCCTTGGCAAGCAAAAGGAGAAAGGCATGCCATTTTTGCTATGTACAGACAGACGGTGCATACTGGGTCCTAGAATGGAACCTCAGGAAACGTTTGAACTCTAAGCCCAAGTCACACTAAAAGTGAAGATGTATGAATCCTACCACACCCATTGCACACAACTGTACTACAGCCTTAACTACCCCTTTTAGGAACTTTGGGTGTTTGTTTGGCATTTAGGAAGGAGGGCTGAACATCTTCAGTTATAGATAATTCTAACCTTCTGTCACAAATCTGTAACTCCAACACCATATGCAGAAAATCCCGAATCATTATACAGCCTCAGTTTGGAAATATCTTTTATCAGTATCTTGCTTCAAAGTGAAAGGGATGCAGATAAAGGTCTGTGGGTTTTTTCCCCCCAATAGTTAATTCAAAGTCTGATTTGGGATACTCCCTCCATGATCTTGGTATAGATTGCCTCTTCTCCAATTTCATGCAACTCATGCAACTCAGGGACGGAATGAGACAACTCGCCACAACAAACTCGCCACGGCCGACTCGCTGAGGGACAACTCACCACAGGAAAATTCCCTGCAGGACAATTCAACACTTCAATTTAATTATTTAAAATAAGTACAAAATTATTGTAATTTTTGCCATTCACATTTCATTTTGTCCCTCCTTTCGCATCCTTTCTTTCATGGTTCTGTTTCACCATTTCTTTGATATTAGTGTAACTCTTGTCTTGCAGTGAGTTGACCATGGCATGTTGGCCACAGGGAGTTGGCTGTGGTGAGTTGGCCCTGGTGAGTTGTTGTAGACTCCTCAGGGACATTATTATTATTAATAATAATAATAATAATAATAATAATAATAATAATAATAATAATAATAATAATAATAATAATAATAATAATAATAATAATAATAATAATAATAATAAAAATAAAAAAGTTGGAAGGGACCTTGGAGGTCATCTAGTACAACCCCCTGCTTAGGCAGGAAACCCTATACCATTTTGGACAAATAGCTGTCCAGTCTCTTCTTAAAAACTTCCAGTGTTGGAGCATTCATTGCTTCTGGAGGCAGGTTGTTCCATTGGTTAATTGTTCTAACTGTCAGGAAATTTCTCCTTAGTTCTAGGTTGCTTCTCTCCTTGATTAGTTTCCATCCGTTGCTTCTTGTCCTGCCTTCAGGCACTTTGGAGAATAGCTTGACTCCCTCTTCTTTGTGGCAGCCCCTGAGTTATTGGAACACTGCTATTATGTCCCCCCTCGTCCTTCTCTTCATTAAACTAGACATACTTCATCGCTTCAATTCAGCGTAACATTTCTACTGGGGAAAAAAGCCACTTCCTATGGTTATAAAGTTTCCTCCAGATATTTTCTATATGTCAGAGTTCACATCTTTGATAATTGTGCTAAGAGGGTGGTGGTAATGGTAAACAGGATAGGAAAAAATGTGGGAAATTTCCCCTTGTGTGTATTTACAAGGAATACTCACCAAGTTGTGAAGCTCTTGAACACTGACAGCAAAAAGTCTCTCATTCAACCCCAGGGATGTAAACACACCAAAAGCTTCCATGGGCAATACAACTTTATCTGCCAAAATCCAATTTTAGAAAGCAGGTTGAGAAATACAATTGTTTCTCAACAGGCCACGAGGAGGCAGCATATAACAAAGCATCAATATTGAGTGATTGTTACGTCTCTTTGCCTTCCCTCCCACAAACCATGTTAGAGAACCACAGCTCACTTCACTGGCTCTTACCTAGCTAGTAAATTTAGCTCTAGTTTCTGATTCAAAGAGGCCCATTTCACATTCATGATAATAAATCTTTTTCTCCTCCAGAATCAAGTACTGTAGTAGCTGGCCATACATGACATTAACTGCCATGTGGCTTTGCATTTAAAAAGAAACCTAAGTAGTGGACCCTTTCGTAGGGTCTTCAAGGGCTGCATGTGAGAATGAATGACAGCTGGGATCAACATCTGCATGCACATATAAATGTAGCTCCACATACAACTTTCTTCTCATCCCGACTAAAAGATGCATGAATAACAGGGTTAAATCACATCTTCTCTGTGCATCAAGATAGTTTGATTTGGTCTGCCCTTCCCCTCCTGGGGGAGCAGAATTCCATTTAAATAGAAAAGGAGGAGAAACTTTTCTTTATGGGCTGCTTTTCTCATTGAGGCTTCTTGCTCCACTGCTGGACTAACAGCTGTTTGGCAGACTGTCAGGAGCCAAACTGTGCTGGGGAGGAGAAGGGAGTTATGCCCTTCCCAGCATAAACATGAAAAAGGAAGTGTGAAGACAGGGAAATGAAGGAGGGGTGAGGAGAAACCAGCCTGGGCCCCCAGGGCAGACAACCCTGGAGGTCTTCAAGAGGGGGGCAGTTTGTCCTTATCTGATAGATGTAGATAAATCCACATGTGGCCCTTTTTTTTCCTTGTGTTCTGAAGGAAGCCAGACCATTTGAAGCATGAGAGAATAGTAACAAACAACAGCTGAGCCAACATTCAACATGATAGATGAATGTTATGGATAAACAAGTTACAAACCACACTGTAACAGTGGTAGGTAAACTTACTCTTCCCTTAGCTCATTGTAGGAGGAGATAGGTTATGGTAGAAAAATCAGGATTCTGGGAGCACCTTTTCAGACTAACAAATTTTATTAAAAGCCAGAAGCTTTTAACTCCATTGGATGCATAGCATGATTAAACTGATGCAGGATTTAAATTATCTGAAAATTAGAAGTGTGTCTTGGTGAATCAGATACTCTACAAATGTCAGCCTTGTTCTTCTCCCAATGCTTCAGGTGAGAGACTCCTGCCATTTTTTTTTTATTTAAACAAGTGCCACATGGACATTCATCCATAATATATATTCAAGCATGGCCTTCCTGGTACAATGTTAAAAAATCAGAGAAATGATTTCCTCAGATTATAAAACTTTGCTAGAAATGTGAAATGGAAGTCTCAGAATCATTTGATGGAAACTACCGTAACTAACCTGCATGCTCTTCTTCCCTGCCTCAAACACTTTAGCTTTAAACATGCAGGAATCCTTTCTGCTATGGTTTTGACACTGCTGAAATACATGTATGACTAACACCAATTTGGATATGACCCTCAGTTGCTCCAGGACAGTGTTGCCATAGCGGAGCCACTTATCACTGCATAAGGCAGGAACATCCATCTCCCAAAATTGCTACCCCTGATATGATTTATGTGCCATTAAGTCATTGTCAACTCTTACTGCCCAGATACAGTACATACATATTTCTCCATGATGAACTGTCCCCAGACTTGTCTTTCAAGTCTTCCACTGGTGCGCTCATTGTCATTGCTATCCCTACCCATTATCCCAAAGATGCTCTTTCACGAGGCAACTGGACTTTCTTGTTTTTCTTTGAAGACGTTTCCCTACTCATCCAAGAAACTCCTTCAGCTCTGACTGGATGGTGGAGCTGAAGAAGCTTCTTGGATGAGAAGTGAAACATCTTCAAAGAAAAACAAGAAAGTCCAGTTGCCTCGTGAAAAAGCATCTTTGGGATAACTATAACCTGGATGACTGAGAATCTCCATAGACATCCCTACCCATTATTTAAAAACTCCAATAATGTCTCTGGAGCCAAAGTGAGGGAGATCATTCCACTGAGGACTTGATAATACTATGGTGGAAACCATCAGCAGCTCCTGCTGACTAGACCATCTGCTGCCACTACTCTTTGCCTCAAGATAGACTAAGCGGAGGGGCAACAGGGAAGGGAAATTTCCTTCAGCTGTCTTATGCTACTGATACATTCTTGAAGATGTTAATTTCCAATGACAGACCTGCATGGACCAAGCACATTTAAAGGACTTTCAGATAGCCAACAGCTGTAAATTGTTACTTTTTTTTTTGTATCCTTGGAAAAGGGGTTTTGCCAGATGGGTTGTGTGTAGCACTGGGATGAAGGAACTCCTATTTACATGACTGGCATCTCCACGAAACTCCTGCAAAACTAGCATAGCTTCATTATCTTCCCAAGGAAACAGCAGCTAAAAGGTTACAGTGGGCTCACCTCCTGCTGAATTAACTTTGACTAGGATCCAGTCTTTGTTCCAGTCTTGACAGTCTACTAATGATGCAAGGACTTCCTGAACTGAGGCATTCACCTGTAACAGTCTGGTAAGGCAGGAATAGTTGGGCCTGTATATGTCATATGAAACTAGAGAGGAAGATGAAAAGGAAAGAGAGTTAGCACAGAAGCTATTCCTTAGATATAAAATATATCATAACCCATCAAGCGAATCAAAACCTTGCCATCATCTCATGGAGCCAAGCTCTCATATCTTGGCACAGTAATAATTGTTCTGATCAGTGCTTTTTTTCTTAAAAAAAAAAAAAAGGTGCCAGAACTCACACAAGTCATACAACCCGCCTTGCCTACCCTACAAGGTTCCATCCCAAAAAGGTGCCGGAACTCCATTCTGGGCGTTCTGTGAGAAAAAAAAAGCCCTGGTTCTGATTACACAATGGAAAATCAATGTCAAAGCAGACTAGTTTGAACCATAAGCAGGGAAATCATGATGACCTTTGTCCTTGATTCGCATGGTGTAACTGTTGTTCAGAAAAGTTTCTTCTTGGATGACAAACCGGTTCACAACATTCCTGACCTGGGAATGAAAAAAGGAGAAGACACAGAAAAAAAAATCTTACCATGCAGGAAATCATAGCACAATACAAGTGGATGCTTATGGCTAATACGCACTAAAATTTAACAGGAAAGGCCTTTCCCCATACCGCACACATCAGTCCCTTAAAGATACTGAATGCAAATGTGGGTGTCCAAAAATACAGGTAGTCCTTGACTTGCAACCACAACTGAGCTGAACATTCCTGTTGCTAAGCCATCATAACTTCAGTCACTAAACGAACTGTTATAAGTCAAGGACTACCTGTACTCCTTTCTTTCTCTCCCAATCTTTCTCTATCTAGATGTGCGAAGAAAATTCAGGTTTTTCCTAGAAATGTTTTCAAGACATAGGCTAGCAAATACATGCATTCTGTTTGATGAAAATAATAGAAATTAGAGCGATAGCCCATAAACCAGGATTTACAATGGCTGGGAGTAAAGTTCTTATTCTCTCTCTCTCTTTTCTTTAATTAGCAAGATAAAATATGCTTTGAAAATTTAGCATACACATCCCTATACCGGGATTAAGCAATGTAATTCAGCTTACAGAATTTAGCTTTTCATCAGAAACCCTTGGGAAGATGTTGGGACAGAAAATGTTGAGTTGCCTCTGCATCAGTGGTGGGATTCAGCCAGTTTGCACCACTTCGGCAGAACCAGTAGCTAATTTTCTTGTTGCCCAGGCCCAGAATGGACTTCCGGAAGCGGCATCCACACAGAGAACCAGTTGTTCACATCTTTGAATCCCACCACTGCTCTGCATGTCTCATTTTCTCTAGAAAAGAAAATGAGATGAATCTATCCTGGTTCCCTTTTCCTGTAGCGCTCTATGATAAGGTGTGAAGATGAAGGGAGAGGAAGGAAGGAAGACCCTGTATAACAGAAGCTTTTAAAGGAAAAAGTTGCCACAATGAAAAGATGGGTTTTGTGCCATAAAATGAAAGAGAAAGCATGACCACATGTAGCAGGTCCAAATGTCTCCTGAGCTATTTCCCTTCTTGAATTCTGCTTTTACTTACACACACACACACACACACACACACACACAAAAAGTCAGTGAAAATAATTAAGCAAAATTAAGCATGTCTACTTGGGAAAGACACCTGCAACTGCTGAAAAAGGATCAGAAAATAATTGAAGAACCTCTTGCTAGAAGCCAGGAATTTACCTGTAGCTTTGGGGATGCACAGTTGCTGCCATTTTCTATCCTATTCAAAGAGGAGAAAAGTCCATGTCAGATCACAACAGTTACTTAGACTGCCAGAGGCTTTGTTTTTGAGAAAACACAGCAGCAGTATTAAAACTGCAAGGATCCAAGTAGCCCAATAAACCACTCTTTCAACTGTTCTACAGTTCTTGGTTACAATTCTTTATTTCTAAGTATATATCAACACGTCTAGGTTGTTATGCAAACATTTGGCTGCAATTGTTTAACTTGACATCTGCCCGTACCTGTGTTCAGACGTCCCAGAAAATTGGGCTTTTTGCCATGATTGTCCTACTTATGACCAGGCTCTTTTCTGACAACACAAAAACAATTAGACAGTTTGAAATGATACAGTAGACTCACACTCTATTTCTCCGGCGATCCTGGATTTGTTCCCGAACCAGGGGCCCCAGACGAGCATCTTGAGTTGCGTATTCTGACATAGTCTGCAACATATTGGCCAAGACCAGTTAGCAGAAGCAACAAGACAGATTTCCAAGTCCACAATAATGGGAGAAAAATGCTAGTCAATCAACATGACTTGCATAAAAATAAATACACATGGGACCCATTAGTTTGTTTTATCTATAAAACTGTGGTGGCCATGGCAGTAAAATTAAGAGAGAGAATGGGTACTTTAAGCTTCCAATAATCTCAGTTGCAAAGATTGCTGGGGAAGATTGCTGAGGTTTTTCATGATTATGTGTGCTATGTGAATTCAAATTAGAACAGAGCTGGAAGGAACCTTGGAGATTTTCTAGTCCAACCCCCTGCTCAAGCAGGAGACCCTATATCATTTCAGACAGGTGGCTGTCCAATCTCTTCTTAAAAGCCTTCAGTGATGAAGCACCCACAACTTCTGAAGGCAAGCCATTCCAGTGGTTAATTGTTCTCACTGTTAGGAAAGTTCTCCTTAATTCCAGGTTACTTCTCTCCTTGATTAGTTTCCATCCATTGTTTCTTGTCCTGCCCTCTGGTGCTTTGGAAAATAAGTTGACCCCCTCTTCTTTGTGGTAGCCTCTCAAATATTGGAATACTACTATCATGTCATTCCTAGCCCTTCTTTTCACTAGACTGGCTATAGCCAGTTCCTGCAGCCGTTCTTCATATGTTTTAGTCGCCAGGCTTGGTGGGTGTGGGTTTTCCCACCCAACACCCAGAGCTGCTGGGAGAAGGGCAGCATGTAATAACTGTAGGGTTTTTTAATATAAATTGATAAAATCTAGACACATAACACACCAGATTTACCTGTGGTTTTAAAAAAGAAAGTGGGGGCAATTAATGGGGCAATACCAGGGATAGTAGGAGACAAAGAATTGGAGAAGATCACACAGTTAAGAGGTTATGGCATAAACCAGCTGTGGTAATCCCAATGGTTATCGGCATATTGAGTGCCTTACTAAAAAAAATCTTGGATGGCGTTTAGAAAATCTGCATATTGACAAAATTTCCAATTGTCAATTACAAAAGGCCACACTGCTTGGATCCAAGCATTACATTACCTGGGAAGAACTTGATAGGTGGATAAAAATGCCAAATTCAGTCTAAACATGTGGCTGACTGCAACCAACCATCATCATCATCATCATCATATCCCAAAACAACTGGAGCACCACTTGAACACCACCACCATTGACAATTGCCAAAGGTAGCCTTACTTGGAACTGACTACATTCTGTGACAATATCTTTAACACCATCAAACTTCCTACATCTGCCTCTCTCAGGTCCTTGGGAAAGACTCGATAGGTGGACAAACATGCCAAATTCAATCTAAACATCTGGCTGTCTATGCAATAAACCATAATAATACTATCAACCACTATCACCATCATCACATATGAGGGAAAAGGGAAAACTCAGAGGGAAAACAAAGTTGCATATTTCACAGGTATCCAGGCAAAAAATGCCTCCTGAGCCACACCAACTTATTTACTTTTCACATTTTTTGAACCTCCCATCTCCCTCAATTTTTATGTCTCTTTTTCTAGAACAATTGATATCCAGCTCTATTGCCCCGTCTGTTTCTCCCTAAAGCAGCGGTTCTCAACCTATGGGTCGCGACCCCATTTGGGGTCGATCGACCATTTCACGGGGGTCGCCAAGCAAGGCTGTCCGCCATTTTTTTCCCCTTTTCCGGCGGGTGCCTTACCTCCCTTGGGCTGGGCCAGCTGGTGGTCGGCCTGCTCCGTCTCTGCCGCTTGCCAGCTATGCCTCGGCCGGTGCAGGGGGCGGAACCATGCATGTGCGGCGCTCCCAGGCAGGGAAAGTCCTTGACTTACGACCGGTTGGGTAGTCCTCAACTTACGACCGGTTTAGTCCTCGACTTATGACCGGTTTAGTCCTCGACTTACGACCGGTTGGGGGGTCGCGGCATTAAAAAGGTTGAGAACCACTGCCCTAAAGACAATTTTGTGCCCTGGGTCCTCACCAATCTCCCCTTACCTGCAAAAAGGCCACAGCACAGGCCTCTGCTTGCAGCAGCCGTCCATACAGAGACACCCACTGGTTGACCAACCACAGGATCTTCTGCCTTTTCCCCAGGATATAAGCAGCTTTGTCCTGCTCCGAGCCCTCCGAAGGTTCCGAATGGAAGGTGAATGTAAGTCAAGGAAGCGCAGGCCCAGGATGATGAAACAGACCCCATACAGCTGTGACCCCCATCCTTTTGGACACCAGGGACCAGTTCTGTGGAGAGAGGTTTTTCCACAGACCGGAGAGGGCATGGTTTTGCATGTTGCCTGCATCGTACGGATGAGGATTCACTTGTTTGTGCGACCCAGTTTCTGGCATGCCACAGCCCAGTGCCGGTCCACGGACAGGGGTTGGAGACCCCTGACATACATGTTCTAAGGGTGGGAGTTTTGTTTTTGGGTGAGGCTTAGCTTCTCTTGGCAGTAGTATCTGAGAGTAGCAGGTTTCAAAAAGAATATGTAGCTGGCATTTTAACTCATCTATAATGTCCGGTGTGATATGAGGTTAAAAACACAGAGGGGTATTGTATAGCCTGCCATCAAATGTTGTTGGCTATATTCTAAATGTGGCAGTAGCCAGATGCAGGCAAGTGTCAACAGTGGGCCTCTGAGTTGCTGGGCTCCATCCTAAGCTGACCAGCCCCTCCATGGACTCTAGACAAGGCTTCTCCATCTACTGCCTCCACATGGAAAACTGAGGGTTGCAGTTCAGCACACCTGGGAGATGATGCATTGGAGAAGGTTGATAATAGACAGCTTGACTGAGACTTCATCTTAAAGTTGTTGTGTGTCCTCACCCCCACTCCTCATCCGAATGCAAAATTCTGCAACCTACAGTTATATGGATCTCATAACTATCAATGGTTACAGCATGGAAAAGTTAGAGAAAGGAGACTTAAAGGAAAAAAAACATATTGGAAGTCGATATATATCTGTGTGTCTATACAGGTATGTATGATTTTCCTGTTACTGTATATCAAACTTGATTGGGATTCAGAAACACAGTATAAAAGGGAACTGATATGATGTTGCTGGGGAGAATTTAAAAACAAAAAAAGAGCAAACCCCATTCCTATATTTTGCTATAACATGCCTGTGTGGCTTCTAGAATTCCAATAGAGAGAGAACAATGGGGATTGTAATTTAATACATCTGGGGGGCATTTAGTTGAGGAACATTTCCCTAGCATAAAGTTAAGATTTTAACAGACTTTGGGCCAAATCTGGCCCTCCAGAAGTGCTGTCTCTTCCCTCCATTGCACTGCAACAATCTAGAACAAAGAATGATGCACGGAGGGAATTATAACGCTCTTGGCTAAAACAACCCAGTGCAGTCTCCCTCCAAAGAAAGCCTTTTGCTGACTAGGCTTCTCCATCTATGAGCCAAGGCAGAGGCAACCAAGAAGGATATTGTTGGAGCAGAGTTCGGCACAGCTGTGGAGTCGGCATGAACACACTGTACGTCAGGAGAAAATCTCCCAGAAATGTATCTGCAAAGAAGAGAGAAGCCATTGTGAAATATGACTTTCGGGCTAGATGCTGCTCTAATTTACTGCCTACTAACATAGAAGATTTGCATTTGCTCTCCTCTGCTTTGACACTCCATACATATTCCAATATAAGAATAACCACAGACCACTAGACCAAAGGGATGAACAAGTAGCAAGCTCCCTTCTATTAAAATAAAGTCCAAAGATTCCTGTTTAAAAACCATCTACGTGATTAGGGCTGGGGGTCCTTCCAGGCAAGGTATGAATCGTAAACATAGCATAGATAGCATGGTTATTTTCCCATATCTTTTTCATCTTGTTTCTTTCGACAAAGGCCCTTAAGGAAGAAAAAAAATAGCAGAGCTGCACAGTGTCTTTTAATTGGCCAAACTGGAACAGGAATGCTATTCTTGGCCTATGAGTGACTTCCTGGAGAAGGGAAAGGATAGAGATCATATCCGACTACGTCTGGGTTCAGGAAGAAAAGTGGGTGGGGCCAGCTCAACCATTAAAATTATTTAAGTTAAACTTAGCTATACCAAATATTTTATTTTATTTTTGCCCACATTGTCAACATTAAAATAATGCAAAATGGTGAATCAACTGCACAAAATTGATTAGAAGCAGGTACAGGGAGTCCTCGATTTGTGAGCAGTTCACTTAGAGACCATCCAAACTTTCAACAGACACCCCCTCTCACCCCACCCCCCAAAAGAGAGATATTTACAACCCAGTTCCAAAATTCTGATGATCCGGCCACCCCACCTCTGTGGCCACATGAATGCATTTTGGGCACTTGGCAATTGGGCCACATTTACGGTCCTTTGCAATACCTCATGGTCACATGATCACAATTTATATTTTTGCCCCAAACCAGCAATTACTTCCAGTTGGGGCAAAAATGACCCATAGTGTACAATGGGTTTGCTTAATAACTACCAAATTTGCTTAATGACTGCCACAAAAACGTCATAAAATCGAGTCAGTCAAAAAGATGAGGCACTTTACAACTGTCAAGACTGTAATTGCCAGGCTCCATTATGGTTGTAAGTCAAGGACTACCTGTAATATAAACAGGTAAGAGTCTCCAGGAATCTTCCTTTTGTAATACAGTGGAAGTGACCATTCATCACAATATTTGAAGGAGCTTTATGATTTTGTGCATCTGTAGGTTGCACGCATCTGCCTTAGGAAACTTTAATTTGTAATTGTTGTGATTCCTCGCCAGCCTGTGGATCCAGCAACTGAGTCTGAGGAATCAGAGGAGGAGGAGGAGGAGGGGCCTGGAGTCACATCAGAGTCAGAGGAAGGCTTTGAGGAGTTCCAAGACTTACAGTCGGACGAGGAGCCTGGCTCCTCTACTTGCGCTCAGGCTGAGACACAGCTGTGCTGGGAACCTGAATTGGACAGTGATGAAGAACAGTTGGGAAAAATCCAGGATGCAGGAAGGCGCAGGCAAGAGAAGCGAGTAGAACAGAGGAATGCAATGGGGCGGCTCCAAAAGCAAAGGAAAAGGCATTAGGAAGCCACGCCTTGGCTGAATTATAAAAGGGAAGGTGTGAGAGGTGCTGGTTGCTGAAGGCAACCATTTGTGTTGAGGATCAAAGTTTCTGTGAACTGTGTTTGCCTTGGACATTGACTCAGGTCTGTGAGAATAAAAGGGGTTGGTTTTTTCTTGCGGTTTCTGCCTGCTTGTTGGAAGAGGGGTTTCTCCTTGTGAGCATAACAAGGACTCTCGTAGGCTGGGACAGAACAGTAATCATCCCCAGAATACAATTCTCAGTTCTGCTCAAATTAGCTGCCCACAATCCTCAATTTCACACTGCATTGGCTTATAGAACAACAATTGTTCTGGAGGTTTTCCTTTATGCAAACTATTTTATACTCACCGACAGGGTCAGAAAGCGTAGAGTCTGAACGCATGGTTTCCAATAGGTAATCAAGTATTTTTTCAGGGGTCCCAGCCATTACTGAATATCTGAAGGAAAGAACAAAATAATGGTATCCAAAGTAGCAATTACATCATGGAAACCAATATCAAGAGACCTAGCTAACATCTACCAAACAACTGCAACTCATCAAGTTTGGAAGCCACATTTAAGAACCCACAGTTTGGTTGCATATGCCGCCATGATGGTTTTCCTCACATTAGCCCCATATGATTACCGTAATCATCTACACCAGCCTATAAGCAGTAAATAAGCAGTAAGTCGCCTTGTGGCGAGATGGGCAGCAAACAAACATAATAAATAAATAAGTACAGGTAGTCCTTGACTTACAACCATTCGTTTAGTGACTGTTCGAAATTATAAAGGCACCGAAAAAAGTGACTTATGACCATTTTTCACACTTACAACCGTTGCAGCATCGCCATGATCATGTGATCAAAATTCAGATGCTTGGCAACGGGTTCATATTTATGCAGGTTTAGCATTTCAGGGTCATGTGATCCCATTTCTGACAAGCAAAGTCAAGGGAGGAAGCCAGAGTCACTTTACAACCATGTTACTAGCAACCGTGTTACTTAACAACTGAAGTGATTCACTTAACAACTGTGGCAAGAAAGGTCTTAAAATGGGGCAAAACTCACTTAACAACTGTCTCACTTAGCAACAAAGATTTTGGGCCCAATTGTGGTCGTAAGTTGAGAACTACCTGCACAGATCCCAACCTTGTATACATCTAAAGCGGGGCACACATAAATGAAATCAGCATGTAGTTTACAACAAGGCAACTTGCATCTTACTGAAACAAAGAGATTGAAGCACCACATTCACAAGGAATTAGTGACTTCCCCGTAAAATATATGGGGCAGGGGAGAAAAGACTGTCTGCAAGGGATGATTCCCTATTCCAATGATGGTGAACCTTTTAGAGACTGAGTGCCCAAACTGCAACCCAAAACCCACTTATGCATCGTCAAGTGCCGGGTGGGTGTGGCCCATTGGGTGGATGTGGCCCATTGGGTGGGTGTGGCCAATTGGGTGGGCATGGCTGCAGAGGCAACGGCAGACTGGGTGGGACTAAAAAGTTCAATCAATCAATTCCAACTTTGCAAGAACTTTTTTTTTCCCGCAAGAAGTTGAAATTGACTGATTGAACCTTTTTTTTTTTTTGCACACGGTGGTGGAGGTCTAAAGCGAAAAGGTTTTATAAAACCCAGCTGAATGCCTAGGACTGGAGCGACGAAGCGCGTGCCCACAGAGAGGGCTCTGAGTGCCACCTCTGGCACCCGTGCCATAGGTTTGCCACCACTGCCCTATTCTATCAAAGGAAAAAGGGGAGGGGGGAAATGAGGAGGCAAATGTAGAGGAGGGAGCAGGGAAATGAAGGGGGGCAGATTGCTGTACCTACTGCTCCCAGGAGTCCCAGCAAGGTGACTGGAATTAGTGCCTTGTGAATTCTTCTCTAAAACAAGCACCACTTTCCCGTGTTCCTTTAGCCGTAACGTGTTAGCTTCGACATCCTAGGAAGAAAAGCAAATGATTATGGGCTGGCTTACATCATCATATACTAGCCAAAAAAAGAAAAGAAATAATTCCATTTCTAAATTCTTTATTAGATTTGACACCCCTATGCTAATCCTGGGAAGCCCCACTACTTTGTCACAATGCTGGCATAAGGCACAACATCCAGATAGATTAATTTAAAATATCAAAGCAGGGAAGCATATTTTTAATCACACTCTTAGCATTTTTCTTTGCATGAAATCTGCAATATGCAGTCAAGTACCACAAGGAAGCTGGTTAACTAGTGTGATCAAGACTGGCAACTGTTGGAAGTTAGCAGGAAAAAAAATCTACAATACCTATTCATCCTCCATTTAGGACTCTGCATCACTGCTCTAATATTCCAATTGATTCTTATTAACATATATCAGAGGTAGCAGAAGCAGTGGCATAATAGAGGTTGTGTACAATTTGCATTAGACCAATACCAAGAGAGGCAATAATGCAGACAATTGTGCAATGTGTGATTTTCCAGTTCTTGATTACAGTAGTTTGGGTCATTAAACATGGGGATTTGCATTCACCATCATTCTGAAAAGCCACATATTGCCACTCTAGCTAGGAATAAACAAGTTAAAAATAGCATAAATTAAGGGCAGGGAAGTTGAAGTCAAGAGAAAGGTAACTGGGTTCTGGAAAAGATACAACCATGAGGAACAATTTGGAAACCCAAATAATGGAAGACAGACAAGGGTCTAAGCACTTCAAGGCTTACATTTGAAGTAGACTAGGAACTTTATTTATATAACTGCCTCTCCATCCTTCGGTGTTCTCAACTTCCTTGTGCAAGAGATAAGCTTCCTTCTACCAATCAAAGTATATTTAATGTTGCAAGTCTGTCGCCCAAACACAACAGCTTCAGTCTCCAGCATGATGTATTTCCATGCCTACCTTGAGAATCCGGTTGAAATCCCTTTTGTCCACTCGCAAGAAGTGGCAACTGTCCTCACGAAGGATGATGGTGGCAGCACGGGGGGCATCGTTCACGAGTGCCAGCTGGCCAAAGTCATCACCTTCATGTAGGGTGCACACTAAGCCCTGCAAAACGAGTGAGAGGACCAATTATTTTATTCACAAAGTCTCGATACCACCTTGGCAAACATGAGTTGTCCTACTGAGATCAGTTAACTACTAAAACCACACGTTTGTTCTTCTGTACCTTATTTCTAACTTAACCAGCAGGAAACCAGATTAAACACAGCCTAGGAAGAAAGGTTTTAAGGACAACTGTTGTAAGGAGAGAAGGTTAAGTACACACACCTATATTAATTTTGCCTTGCAAAGGCACAACCCCAGAATGTCTTACATGATGTGGTAAACTTTTTATTCAGCAACATGGTGTTCCACCCTACTTTAACCTCTTAGATATATTTATTTTCTATTATATGGCTGCTGTACACCGTGACACCATTTTATGATAAGTAATATAAACACACATAGGAAGTGAGCACACCAGACAAAAGGCCATACCGCTTCCCCACCTTACCTTTGTGCCCTACTCCTTTTCTCTATGTATAGACACAGACGCTTGTATGTAAACATAAGGGAATGGGAAGCTGACTTGCAGTGGGCAAATTCATTCACGTGGACATATTTTAGCACTAAAATTGTCCAGGGAGGGAAGGGAAATTTTGGAACACAGAATTTTATTGACATTTACATTCTTTCAGGGATTTATGAATTAGGAAGGGGGTGAGGTGGTACCTAGTAGAATTATAGATGTTTAAATTAGCCTCACCTATATGGGAACCTTACAGAAAGGTAAATTTTGACTCCAGACTTTCCCCAGTCAACATGAATATTGTTGATAATTTGGGGAGTTGGAACCCAGACAGCTGGAAAATGCCTGGGTTATTGAAAGGTGAGTTATTATGTAACAAGGAAAAGTGGGAACATGACAAAGGAAAAATTGGTAACTGCATAAACGTTTGAGATAAATCTAAACATTAATTAGTTGCAAGTACAAGCAACTCTAATATCTAAAGCAGTGGTTCTCAACCTTTTTAATGCCACGACCCCAACCGGTCGTAAGTCAAGGACTAAACCGGTCGTAAGTCGAGGACTAAACTGGTCGTAAGTCGAGGACTTTCCCTGCCCGGGAGCGCCGCACATGCGTGGTTCCGCCCCCTGCTCCGGCCGAGGCGTAGCTGGCAAGCGGCAGAGACGGAGTAGGCCGACCACCAGCTGGCCCAGCCCAAGGGAGGTAAGGCACCCGCCGGAAAAGGGGGGAAAAAATGGCGGACAAAAAAAATGGCAGACAAAAAAAATGGCGGACAGCCTTGCTTGGCGACCCCCATGAAATGGTCGATCGATCCCAAATGGGGTCCCAACCCACAGGTTGAGAACCACTGATCTAAAGCATAAATCCAAGGACTAGAAACATTGAAAGAAATAAAAGTTCTGGTATCTAAATGCCTAGAATTCTTGGTCTTATTCTGAAACCAGCCTTTTGATTCCTAAAGAGATTAAAAGTTCACACCTTATCATGTGTAACAACATTGATTGATCCCTTCCAAATGATGTACCAGGACGTGCCCTTGTCCCCTTGGCTGAACACTGTGGAGGGGGGAGGGGAAAAAAAGACTTAAGTTACAGGAAAATTTCAGCTGAGGCAATTACAGTGCAGTTACAAATGAACATTTTTAGAAATAAATTAACAGAAGAAAAAATGGAGACCTTGAGCTGGAGTTATGAAGAAAAGAGCTAACTAGGAACCGTTTAAAAGGAATACACCGACTTTAAAGAGAGAAAAATGAACAGTACCACTGACAGCTTTCCTCCCTGATTTCACAAAACAGAGGATTGTTGAATGCCATCGTTGTTCTTTTTTACAATGGTTGGCGTAAATTGTGATACTGCAAGTGGCAGGTATAAAAATGCATATCATTTCCAAGATGCCAACTCACAATGGCCACACCTGTCAGCCTATGGCTGCATAAAGTAGCAATATGGGATACAGGAGGGACACTGTTAGAGACAAAAAGAGTGTTGCCAAAGTGACAAAAAAAAATGTGACTCACACACAGTTCCAGCCTTGGCATGGGACTCAAAAAGCAGTACAGCAGCCAACTCTCTCCTCACCTGCAAGGGAGAAACAGATAGTGAGTAGGCCCCATAACACGTTTCACTGAGCTATCACACGTTTCAAAAGCAACAGTTGGTAAATGAAGTCAGCATGTGGCATAAGACAGCATTTAAGCTAAGTCCTTACATTTCTAAACTCAATCCATACTGAGCAAACGTATTGAGGCCAACTGAAGATTTACAAAATAGGTGCCAGCTTTTATTTCCAAGCCTTCTTCGGGGGAAAAAGGAAGGAAGGAAGGAAGGAAGGAAGGAAGGAAGGAAGGAAGGAAGGAAGGAAGGAAGGAAGGAAGGAAGGAAGGAAAAACAGGTGTATAAATGGAGTATAACTCATATCTGTATCAAGGATCAACCTTAGATGGAATGTTGGGCACTGGAAGAGGTGCAAATTCAACGGAAGTTGAATTAGTTCACAACACAAAATTCCCCAAAGCTCACTGGGAAAGAGAAATATGCAAGTAATTGTTGGTCCCTGATTTTAAAAATATAACATTTGGCTGTAAAATACTGTTGGCATCCACAGATCCCTTAGGAAAGGAAAGCAGAAAAGGGATTCATGGCAACAAAGCACCAATTACTGTAGGTGCCTGGTTCTAGATTTCCCATAGTTTTGCAATGTGTCAGTTGTGCCAGTTACATCCTGTTTGTTTGGATCTCTGGACTGCTGCACCTCTGAATTAGGCCATAGTTCCTTCCTGTCTTGTCATCCACAAACATCTACAATATGAAGCACTTCACCCGAGAAATCTCAACGCAATCAACCAAGGGTTTGTTTTCTTAAGTCAACATGTAAATTACACAGTGTACTTTGGCAACCTGAATGGGGAAATGGCAAACAAGCAAATAGGAAAATGCAGTAGTGCCAGTACTTAACATGATTTCATTTTTTTCCATTAAGTCTAATCAGTAGACATTCAGGGCATATGGACAGGACAGTGAAATACTGCAGGATAGTAAAGCTGAACAGGAACACTGCCCACCCAACCCTATTCTAGGGAGTATGTTTTATGCATAGCCCAAAAATTTAAGGAGAGTGTCAAGGAAAGTAGAAATGAATCCAGTTCTAACTTCTGGATTGGATGCATTTGGAGTGACTGAAAGTTGATTACACAGATACATAGACAGACTGGGAAATTCATGTAAAAAGGTATATTTGGGGGAAGAGTGCCAGAAAAATATGTTGTCCTATCTGTTTTGTTACTAAAAACTTCATTTATAAGTAGACACATTCGTGTTTATTACTTACATTTGCAGTAGAAGTAGGAGAGTAGCTGCCATTTTGTTTTCCTATGCACCTCACAGGATTGTTGTTTTGGGGAAGATAGGAGGAGGAAGGAGCGTTACGTATGTTTACCTCCTTGAATTACTTATAGACGTACAGGAGGTCCTTGACTTACGACCTCACTTGAATCCAGAATTTTGCTCATAAGTTGTTGCAGTTGTAAGTCTGCTCACCACGTGACTGGATTCAATATTATGGTTTACAATCATTTTTATGATCTTCAGGATCTTGCTTACAGTTGTTAAGCAAATCACATGGTTGCATGGACACAATTTGAGCCAGCTGTCAAGTGCCCAAAATATGACTGCATGACCGCAGGGTGGCACGGCAGTCATAAGTTTGAGGACAGGCCACAAATTTTCAAGACCTCGTAACTTCTAATGGTTGGTAAGTGACCTGTCATAAATCAAGGACTACCTGCAATAATAATAGGATTTAAACCATCTAATAATAAAAATAAATTAAAAACTAGAAAGCTGCAGACTTGTGCGATTTCATGGCATTCTGGGAAAAAAAATGTGGGCGCTGCAATAGAACGGTGTGATGGCTGGATTATAAAGAGAAATAAAACTGGCATCCAATCAAGTTGACAGAGAAGCAGCAAAAGAGCAATCCTTTCCTCTTTCAACCATATGAAGGACAAGATGATAAAAGTAAACTGATTCCTTTCTATTTGTTATTCACAGCATATTTGTAAGAAATTAAAGTTAGGCCAGATGAGACAGAATCTGTTAGTCGCTTACCGAACTGGAGAGATGGGCTACAGCTTTGACATGCAGTAACTCCTCAAAGATCAGTGCAAGTTCCTCATCTGTGCGCTGGTTAGGACTGGAGGAGAAAGACCAAAATGAAGCACAAGATATCCCAAATTCTCCCATCAACTGACATTATATTGCTGATCTCAGATCTATGCATACGAAAACATCTTAAGCCCATAAGATTGCATTCACAGCTGTGTGTAATCCTTCCCTCTCCTCAGGAAGGACAAAGATCTGTTCAAAATATACATGCTTCATTTTTGACAGCCCCTTTTAGCCTTCTCAGTCATTCCTGGCTTCCACACAAATATTAGGTCCATTACCCAGATCCGGGTGTCGAGGACCATAAATTCCTTGTTAAAACAGCAAGACGTGATTCTTATACTCTATATTGTACTAAGGCACAGAAAGAGCTTCCAAAGTTTGTCCATTAGACTCTTTTAAAGGAATAGAAAATTAGATCTTCTTGGGGTCCAGCAGCTTCTTAGTTTCTGGCATGGTTGCATGAAATTGTTGCTTCTTGTGATATTTTTTGCCAATTTAAATATATGTACAAAAATACATANAGGCCCCCCACTCCTAACCCAGGCTGCAGCTGGTCCAAGCTCTTCCAGTTTATCAGTAGACTTTGCTGCAGTAACCAAGGCATGTATGACAGGGAGCAGGGCCCCCGGTCCAGGAAAGGGTATAACTGGCACACAAGATTAATTTGTCCAAAGGTCCCCACCTACTTCTCAAGCAAAAATTACAAGTCCAGGAGAACTCACAAATTGTGAACCACCTGTGTGTGGGGAAGTCTACTTCACTGAGACTCAGAAATGACACCTCACCAGTTCAAGGAGGGTGAAAAACCCAAAGCCATTCCATCTTGCTAGAGTTGAATTCTCCCTCCTCCCTCCCCCCCCCAATATTGTCACAGCCTCCAAGCACTGAAACAACATATGAACAGCTGGAATGTAAATATACATTCGAGTATCACCAGCAAAATGCACTCTATGCCACTGAATAACCACATCCAAGAGTTTCATTCAAATATTAAAAAGGAGCAGTGAGAAACTTGAACTCTGAAACCACAAATACAGGAGGGGACTAGGGTTACATCTCTCCACCATCATGACCAATACTGACTGGAACAGTACCCAAGGAAGGGGAACCACCTCAAAGTATTTCCAGAAGGACATCATAGTCAATGGTATCAAAGCCATCAAGAATTAAAAGGAGGGCCAAGACAGATCTACCACTCCCATCATGGGCTTCCAGAAGTCATCAGTCAGTGTGGCCAATGCCATCTCAGTACCATAACCCAGCCTGAACCCTAATTGAAGAGTCCAGATAATTCACTTAATCCTGGGTCTGCCAGTCTTTCTTGAAAAGGGAAGGTTGCAGCATTCACAAGAGCTATCAAAATTATTGGGTCCAAGGATGGCCTCTTAAGAAGGTGCAAACTACTGTCTCCCTCAAAGCAGGTGGAACACCCCCTCCAGAAAAGAGGCATTAATCAAGGCTTGGGTTCAGAAGATGGGTCCAGTACCACACATAAGAAATACATGGCATGAAATAGAAAAAGCTACTAATAGGACCAAATTAAAACCCTTCTGTTGGGTTTTCTGGCAATGCCAATGAACTCTTTCAAAATCAATAAAGAAAAAAACACAGTTATCATACGCAGTGTGAGATTTCTACAAATGGAACTGTCTTTTCCCAGGCCTAGGAAAAACCAATTTCAGATTCAAAAAGAACCTGAGTTGCTTTCTGAGACAGCAGCAACACTACCAGCTTTGTTACAGCGGTACAATGAAAGGAAGGCTGTGGAAAGGACTTCCAGTGGAGGCATAGCGATCTAAATATGTCTCCGGGAGACTAGAGAAGATTACCACAAAAAACGTTGAAGTACCAATGACTAGACTAGTTTTTCCGAATCTCTTCAGATAAGATGAGGATGGGAGATCACTCACATGTGCTTTGGATAGCTGTTCGTGAGGAGACTGCAGGACAGGGGTCTCCCATGAGTCTAAGTGCCAGGATACAAAGGCATCAATCATCAAGCTCACAACCACAGCAGAGCCTTTTAAAAGACACTGAGCTTGCTAACCTCACTTCTAATAAGTTTCAGAGATTGCCTACTTAATTATCTTAAGGCTATTAGACATCTTTTGAATGACCAGATTGAAAAAACACACCATGAGTTTATCTTCATTTCTGAACAAAAGAAAAATTAACCATAGGTTTAAGAACCTAAAAGAATATGAGATAAAGAGCAAAAAGCTAAGTAAGATTTTGAGCCAAGAAAGTTATAAACAATTTAAGAATCCAAAAAAATTCAGAATACCAAAACTTTTACTATAAAATTTTAGAACTAACTATATAAAATAAACAGTTTTTCATGGGAACCAGAATTATTTTGTCTATTGTTAAGTCATAATAGATTTAGAGACCTTGTGAATTGAATTAAATTGAATGCTAGACAGGACTAAAAATTCCAGGCAAAAGGGGGGGGAACCCTTGCGTTTGGTTTTGATTAGGATTGGGATTTACAAAATAAAACACTAATAACATTTGAAATATTAAAGAAGATTGAAGAATGACTCAGAAATTAGTAGCCACAATATAAATAATATCGGTAATGTCTGCTTCAATGGATAAACTAGGTTTAAAGGCTGTAAATGAAGGAATGCCAGATGTGAAAATAACCTTGCTTGATGTACTGTAACAACAGTGGAATCTAAAATATTGGATAAAAGTGCAGATTGCAAGATAGAGAAAGTATTTAAAGTGGACAGAAAAGTGACAGGACAAGAGAATGACACAGATAGGGACTCTTTACTGGATATACTGTACAAAAGAAGCTGGATGAAGTTTTAAAAATTAAAAATCCAAATGATAAACCAAGACAATGATCTGAATAATGTCTTTTTATTGGATTTACCAAAGAGGATTTTTAAAGCCTCAAAGAAGCCCTTGCAAAGGGACAAAGAAGAACTGAAGAGAGATAAAATCCCACAACAATATTTGAAAACACTAAAGATTATGATTTTCAGAAATAAAAGGAAGCAATATGAATCAAGGTTAAAAAAAGACATTTTGTAAAATTCTGGCAGCCCTTTACAGATTTTTTTGCTGACATCAGGGCTGAAAAGTTGATGTCTTGTGGATTTGCTTATAGATAAGCAATGGCTTATGGGAAGAAGAGATATCTGTCTGTAACCTTACACGGAGTGAAGAGCTTCCAAATTTGTTTATACTTGTGAAGAAGATTGGATGTCAAGTCTTTATATATATATATATATATATATTTCTAATAACACTAAAACTAAAACAGTGACTCCTGGGTGTGATCATCTTTCCAAAAACAAACTGTGAACACCAGGAGTATATCAAACTATACAAAGTTTAATAACATAAAACATAAAACAAAACTACACCAAGCTTTCGTCGGACTCCTTCCGACTTCGTCAGGGTTACGTGCNATGGACTACATCTGCGTAGCTTCAGGAAAATTGGTACATCATGTGTTGTTGGATCACACTCAGTGATACTTTGTTATTTGTTTGCTTTACAAAAATATAGCTAACATCTCCCTAGCTAGAGAAAACAAAGAGTAGAAACCAAACAGACCAATTTCTCCAAGGAGGGAAGAAAGAAGGCATAAAAAGTCCATGTTCACTGCATTGGATAGGTTTGGGTTTCCTTTGGAATTCACAAAATGGATTAAGACAGTATATGAATTCCTTATACCTAAAGGTTAATGACATGTTTTCTCCTACTTTTCCACTATTCAGGACAAACCAGATAAAAATGCCCATTTTCACCCACGCTTTTTAATATCTGTGTGGGAACCCTTTCGACGTGGGATGTTAACATAGAGAGATATACATAGTAGTACATAACACTTGAGCATGAATTGGTTTTATTTGCAGACAACGGTCTTTTATTTTTTAACATCATGTTACTATGCCAGTGTTTGTGAAACAAAAATAAAAAAATTGTCACCGTTTATGGTTATAAAAGACATATATTCCTTTTTGTTGTATTTTTTTCACTTTTTTGTTACAGCCCTTTTTATGTTTTTTTTTATCTTTGACAATGTATGCATCACTGTCACTATTGTTCTTTTTTTTCTTATTAATTTAAAACACAATAAGGTAGTCCCCATCTTACAACAGTTGTTTAGTGATAGCTCAAAGTTACAATGGCACTGAAAAAAGTGACTTATGACCGTTTTTCACACTTACAACCATCATGGCAACTGACTCACATTTATGACGGTTGCAGTGTCCCAGGGTCACGTGATCACTTTTTGCAACCTTATGACAAGCAAAGTCAATGGGGAAGCCAGATTCATTTAACAATCGTGTGACTAACATTAACAACTGCAGTGATTCACTTAACAACTGTGGCAAAACAAAGGTTGTAAAATGGGGCAAATTTTTCACTTAACAACTGTCTCACTTAGAAGCAGAAATTTGGGGCTCACTTGTGGTCGTACATTGAGGACTGCCTCTAAAAATGTTATTCATTTATTTGTTTATTTGTTTGTTTGTTTATTTATTTATTACACTAGGAATTGTATTGAGGCTAAGGGGCATAAACAAAAGTTTTTTTAAAATCAGAAATACTGATTAAAAGTAAACCCTGGGCATGAAGGGTGAGTATACTACATTCCCAACAAATATCATTAGATTGTTTTAAAAAAATCATTGAGAGAACCAAAGAATAGAACTTTAGCTAAAAACAATGCAGATAACAGTATTTTGCAAACTGCTGCCGTATTTTTTTCTCACACAGATTGACCCTTACCATGAGCTAGTACTCCTTCATCCATCAACACTTGACAAAGCCCAAGGGCCTGGCTGCGGGTCTGCACTGAAAGTCCTGCACTAAGGAGTGCATCTACCAATTCCTTCCCAGAACAACACTGCCTGAAAGAAACACAAAACAACTGTGATTTCCAAGTGCTTTTGAGATCAAGATAACTAAGAGGGCGTGCTTCAAATTCCAGGTGGTATTGTTCTCTGATAAAGCTTCAGGTCAATGTTTCTCACATTTTCTGCAATCATGGACCCCTAAACAAATGTTTGGAAAATGTAGGGATCGCCTTATTAAAGAAATCTTGCTCTCTGAGCACGGGAGTTCTTTGGAGCTGAGTTGTACTTGTGTTTGTACATAGCTTCATATCCCTCCATTTTAAAGAGATCGACATGGTTTGTTACTGATGCTACTGTCTCCTTTCATCCATTGTTGAGGACGGAAAACAGGTGTGTTACTGAAACTTCCTGGTTAGGTTCCATAGAAGAATTCCAGACATCATTTGACTGAGAAATTTGCTCCCATAAGTTGTCAAAAGCTGTAGTTTGTGACCTCCCAGATCAGAGGCAGCATGCTGGGGAGTGACAGAAGAAGAAGACTTCTTGCATTAAGCCATAGGTTTCCTAGAAGTATCCATTATGGAACAAGTATCTTATAATTAGAAAGATTTGGCTTTACCAGGAATGGAAGTATAAAACATAGTGTGTCACTTTATTTCAGGATTTCTCAACCTTGAGATTTTTAAGATGCATGGACTTCAACTCCCAGAATTCTGCAGGCAGCACCTTACCTCACATTCCCAAAAAGTCCAACAAGTTAGATATCTTGAAAACGTAAAATTCTAATTTCATTTCATCTCTAATCAAGGAAACTCTAATCCAGAGGTCCCCAACCTTTGGGGCACCAGGGACCGGTTCCATGGAGAAAGTTTTTTCCATGGACCGGAAAGTGTGTGGTTTTGTGTGCTGCCTGCATCCCATAGACTGGTTGCTGGCATGCTGTGGCCCGGTACTGGTCCACAGGGACCCCTGCTCCAATCAATGGAATTGAAATCATTCAGGGTTCGTTACCTGACATCCACATGAGATCAGAGAGCAGGTAATATAAAAGCACTTAATAATAATAATAATAATAGTAAAATTGGAAGGAACCTTGAAGGTCATCTAGTCCAACCCCCTTTCATACATACATATCCATATGATAACGCAAATCTATATGTACAGGTAAAAATGAATGCAAATAAATGCACTGTCAGCTAGACTATATATATATGTAGGTCTTTAGTTATTCGGGTTTTCTCCCGCATAGAATTAGAAGTTTCTTGGCGACGTTTCGACGAAGTCACATTCGTCATCTTCAGGCTGGTGTCTTCAGCTTCGTGCTTCTAAGAGTGGTGTGTGATCGCAGCTGTTTCTTCCTTTTAACTGCCAGTGGGGTTGGAGCTGATTGGGTGGGAGCTTGGCCCCCACCCAAACAGATTGGGTGGGAGCTTGGCCCCCACCCAAACAGAACACTCCCCCAGCCAATCAGAGCACAGCCAAACAACAATTATTGTATGAGATTCTGCAAGGTTTTTCTTCTGGAACAGTTAATTCAATGGAAACAATACTGTCACAAGGAAAGAGTTCTAGACTTGTGCAAATCTACACTCAGAAGCCTCATTATTCTCATGTAGCACATCCCTGGATGTTTTATTTGTGACGGCACTCATAATACTTTAGGGGAAATGGCAATGTCATCTACCTGTACCTATTCCCCCCTCCCCCTCTACCTTGGGGGAGGGGGGAACAGAAGCTCACAAATAGCAAAGTGCCAGTTGCTTTTAATTCCTTGGCCCAGGGGCCCACGTTCACATGTACCTGTGAAGCCGGAGGTGATGCTTATGATCACGTATTAAATCTGGATGCATGATTACTAGGTGTGCGCAGAGGAGCCTTCCTGCCCGCTGAATTTTGTTGGAGGAAGCCTGCAAAATAAAATGTAAAAGAGGCTACTGCACTTGATCTCATCAACTTCCAGATACTCACCGTCAGTGAATATTAATTTGGGCACGGGGTGGGGGGGAAGAGGACAGAGCTGCTGGCCTTGTTTTAAGAAGTTATCTCTAGCCAAAGCATTAGCAGAAACAATTGCACTATATAGAACATATAGAACAGCAATCTTTATACCAGTAAAAATATTTTTTTTAAAAAAATGAGAAAAGCAACCTTAAGCTCTAGAACTCTATTCCCACAATGGAGATGGCCTATCTACATATCATCTTCCCATTCACATCACCCAATAAATGGTATTACAACTCACACTGCTGTTGCTTCACATGGTGTTTCATAACCATTATGCTTTGCAGCCATTGATATAGGTCAGGGGTAGGCCACCTTGGCTCTTTTATGACTCGTGGACTTCAACTCCCAGAATTCCTGAGCCAGCCATGCTGAGGGGAAAGGGAGAGGTTTCCAAGCTGAGCCATGCTGACTCAGGAATTCTGGGAGTTGAAATCCACGAGTCATAAAAGAGCCAAGGTGGCCTACCCCTGATATAGTGGTCCTTGGCTTGCCACCATTTGTGTAATTATGGTTCAAAGTTACAATAGCCTTGGAAAAAGTGACTTATGACCTGTACTCACATTTGCAACCATTACAACACTCTCACAGTAAGTGATTGCAATTTGGGTGCTTGGCTATTAGCTTGCATTAATGACTAATTGGCAATTTCTGGCAAAAAGTGGCAAAAATACCCATTGGGGAAGCTGGATTTGCTTAATGATCATGTGGTTCACTTAATGACTGCAGTGATTTGCTTAATAATTCCCATAAAAATTGTTGTAAACTTTGGTATGACTCAACTTATAACTACAACAACTTATGACAGAAATTTCAATCACTATTGTGGTCCTAAGCCAAGGACTATCTGTAGTCCCATATCTGGTGTCTTACGGATTCATTTATAAGTAACTATAGAAGTATGTGGGTGATAAAATAGTTTTAAAACTAGATTGCTTTAAAAAGATAATTCCTATAAAAACATATATTTTTTAAACTGATCCGACTGCAAATGCATTTATTGGCATCTCCTGAAAAACTACTTAGAGTTGTAAACAAATACATTTGAGCTCTGATTATTATTATTTTTTTAAAAAACTCTGATGTAAGATTTAAGCAGGTTTTCAGGAGATGCAAACAGATGGTATGTGGGTGTTCCCATGTTTTGAAATGCCTGTTCTGAATTTGAATCCAAAAAACGTGCAGCCTGAATTAACATAATCTTGTATGTTCACAACAAAAACACCAATCAAAAATTAACAACTAGGCTCCCTAAATATAAATGTTACATTCTTGTGGTCAATAGAATCAGTAAGGAACATGAGACGCCTCCAGCTCCTATAGTATGAATAAATACCTTTATTAATAAGCATCTGAAAGTTGAATACTTTCCTGTGATCATAGTGCTCTATAAGCGCCAACTTATCATAATAATTAGAATAGTTTACCTAGACTGCATATGTTGGCAGAAAGAATGGGTCAAACACAAAATTAGCAGATTCAAAGCAGAATACAGATCTGAACAAATTCCACTAGTAAATTCATTGCTGCCTGAGCTGGTTACTGTGTGCAGTGTTACAGTGAATCACAGAGGTCCATCTTCCCAAACTTGGAATCTTCTGGAGATGTTGGCAAGACAACTACCAAAACTGCCTGGAATGGACAACTTTTGTAGAGGATATCTACAAAATGGTGGTGCTAGACCGCAAGGAATGAGTGAGCTTTGTTATATTATAGCTGATGTTTTTTGTTTGCACACATGTCATGTTTATTACCTGTTTTAGGTTGTGCCCAGGCACCAGAGTTGATTCACTCTCTGGAAGAGGAGTCTAGAAACAAAAACCAAGACAAAAATCAAGGACATTTCCATAGTCATTTTACAAAGCCAGGAAGGAACTATCTCTTACATTTGTTAAGTCCAGGGTAACACAAATAGTATCCTCCATTCAAAGGAAATGACCAAGAAACCCAGGGTGAGATTTATTTTTGTTATGTTGTACTGTATATGTTAGTACACTTGCAAGTCTTATTTTAGAATCTAACCCTGGTTCATTTTTCACTATAGCTTTCTATCTATGGAGCATGTGTGCATAAATACAAGCACACACCAGTTTTAAAGAATCTCACAGCACTTTTGACCAGTTAGCTCTGGATCTCCAGAAAATTCAATTAGTTTCTACTATAACATGCAGTTTAAATGAATAACAAAACAGGAATCGTAAACCGTTTAAAGAAAATATTTCAATTTATGCCTTCTTTGGCTGCTTTAATGTGAATAAAATGAAACTGTGGCCAAATATGGCACTTTAAAAAAAGGAAGAAAGGAATATTCCAAAGACTGGCATTTACTGTAGAAATATCATTCTTTCTGCTTTTTCACAGTGAGCACATCGTCTTTCATGCCAAAGTAGCTGAAAATGAACATTTATCAACCTATCTGTCAACATAGATAGTTGTACCTAAATACGTGTGTAAGCCTGACTTTACAAGCAGATGGAATCAAAGGGAATGTAAAACAAAAATGTTTTTGAAAAGGAGGTGAGAAGTCATGTTTTAAAAAATCAGACAATCCCAGACCAAGGGAGTGTATATATTCTTTGCATTAAAGACAAACCATGAATAAATGCAAACCATTTTCTCATAGGAAATAGGCTTAATCTAGCCATCTATATGAAGTGAACAAAACAGGTAGGATTTTGCTCTTCCATGTTTTCCACAATTGAAAAACAAATAAAATACAGAATAAGAACGACAGTTGATTACTGATAGGGTAACATCACTTTAGCCAAGATAAATGGAAATATTTATATAGGCTGCTTTGGTATAATAGAATGTTTTTTTAAAACATGTAAACCCTTCCTCTCTAAAAAAAAAAAAAATCAGAACACTTTTATCAGTTTTTCTTGTTCCCTTCCTTCCACACCCTTTTCTACTAATTGTGACTCACACTGGTTTCCAACTCTGTGACTTGCCAAGGAAGAAGAACCTCAGTTCAGACTTTTCTGCAGCAGTTAAGCATATATTATTTTACTTAAGAAGGACGCAAGTCATTGTGAGAGAAAGTCTATGCCCCTCTCCCCAATTAACGTTTGCTGAGGAATGGAATTATATTATAGCCATACTCCTTGCAGACCCACAGTGTATGAGATAAATGGCTGAGTGGATACTCAATTGCTACAACAGCCTTTTCAAATGGCATGCTGGTGGGCAAATCAGACTGCATTCAGTTCTGGTTACATAAACTGGAAAAACTGTGTGCATGTTTTTGTAGTCCCTTCTTAAACTCACATACTTTGCCAATAACTCAGGGGTGGTGACTTGGTGACCCTGCAGATGTTGCTTAATGTCAGCTTTCAACAGCTCTAACTAGCATGACCCATTCTGAAAACATCTGGAAAGGTCTCAGCACACACTCTGCCAGAGAGAGGTTCCCTGAGGATGGGCTCCAGCATGAGTCCAAAAACTCAGAAGACTAAACCTCTGGTCCAGGTGACCAACCCAGATTGAATCCTGCAACATCTGGAAGGATACAGGCTCTCCAACCCTGACAAATAGTAACGGAAATGTGACAGTATCAGGATGTCGCCAACAAATGCTTATTGGGAGATAAGGGAGTGAAGGAAAGAACATTATTATATAATCATTCAGGATCACGTAATATACATTTGCTCAAGGTTATACTGTAGTGTTACATCTGTGTGTAGAAAATAAAACCACAAAGAAAATGCCATCCCTGTTTCAAGGATTTCCTGTGGACCCCAAGGATGTACAATCTGCTGTGGCTGAAAAATATTACTACTACAAAGATGTGAAAGCTTAATGTGTAGTTCCTGATGTGACCAATCCTTTCACACATCATTTGATGTAATATCACCCGTTTACAGATGCAACCTTTCCTTCAGCAATTAAACTTGCATCACAAAATGCCAAATTAAGCCCCATTTACTTTTAGATTCAAATCAATACATATTAAACACACACACACACACACACACACACACAGAGAGAGAGAGAGAGAGAGAGAGAGAGAGAGAGAGAGAGAGAGAGAGAGAGAGAGAGAGAGAGAGAGAGAGAGAGATTACTTCTTCAACAGGCCAGTCTTTTTACAGCAAAATAATGATGAAGTGACTAACTCAGACAGTGTTTTTTATGGACAGCAGAATGGGAAGGAATGGCATTTTGATGTGTGTTTTTTTCCTCTCAGCCCCCTCTTGGGCCAGCTGTGCATAAACAGAAGTAATTAAATGAAATAGCAAGCAGGCAGCAAACTACAAGAGTTACTCCTTTTGACACTTCAGCTAGCAGCAGAGTGGCTTGGCTGGAATGCACTGGAATGCTGAGTGCTATAACAAGAACCCACGAAAACATTTCAATAAACACAACTTGTGTTCCTCACATTCTTTTCAGTAGCTGCTTCAGATACTGATCAGCTTGCAACATGGACATGAAAGGCTAGCATTTTTCTGGCACAGATGGCCAGCTTATGTTCAAAACAGAAGAAGAAACCAGGAAAGAGAAAGGACAGTGGAAGTTCGGATTAACATCTGGCAAAACACAAAAGTGAAATCAGAGATAAGGCAAAACACAGTTACCGTGGAATAAAACGCATTGAACACAATGTGTAATAACTTATTTCAAAATAAAAATGCATAGGAAGGCACCGTATGATCTGAAGTTAAAGACAGCAAGCAGCAGCTGGGTTCCCATATCATACTATAAGATAGATAACCTTTATAGATAACCTTTATTGTCATTTTTACTGTGGGCACAACAGCACACATCAAAAATGAAATTTAGTTGCTTGCTCTCAAAAGTGTATACATGCATAACACATCTTTAAACATGCTATATACAACATATGTATAAACCTACACCCTTACATATAAATAACATATAAATATTAATCACTGTCCATCTTGAATACATAGCGGAAAAAGGAAGCTTTAGAGTTCACAAGGTTAACACTATATGGAACAAAACTGTGACTGAATCTGGATATTCTGCTTCAGATACCACGAAGCCTCCTCCCGGAAGGTAACAAGGAAAATGGGTCGTGAAGAGGATGTGTAGTGTCCCAGACAATCTTGCGGACCCTGCTCAAGCAATGCTTATATGCTACACTCTAGATGGATGGGAGGTAACTGTCAATAATCTTTTCTGTCATCCTCACCACTCTCTGCACTGCCTTCCTGTCTGAAGTGGTGATGCTTCCAAACCAGACTGTAATGATGTATGACAGGATGCTCTGTAGAAAGTGGTAAGACGCCTTTTATGTGAGCTCAGTCAGGGCATCTTCTTCAGCAAGCTATTATTAAACATTGTAGAGAAAGCAAAGTAGCAGATATGCTACTGTGGTACTTTGGAGCAGAAAGCACCTTGCCATACCCTGCTGATAACCACACTTAGCCAGATGATTTACTTAACAATGGCAGTGATTCACTTAACCACCATGGCAAAAAACAAAAAAAGTCATAAAATTGGCTATAACTCACATGTCTTGCTTAAGAACGGAAATTCTGGCCCCAACTGTGGTCAAATGTCAAGGACTCCCTGGATCTATCTATATAGTCCTATCCCAGTGCCTCAGTAAAAAAGCCAAGTCTCAATGGCTTTCAAAGGCTAAAAGGTTGGGAGGCCTGGTTGCATCTTCCTTCCAAGACCCATCACTAAAAACTGACACATTCTCTCTTCAGCCCCTCGCAGCCACCTCACAAGAAGCCATCGGCCTCCACTGTTGCTCCCTTCTGAAAACCAGAGCTTCGTCCTTTCCACCTTGGCACAGCAACATATCTTATTTTCCTTTAAGCTGGGGCGCCCGACTTTGGCAACTTTAAGACTTGTGGACTTCAATTCCCAGAATTCAACTTAACTTCAACTCCCATCCATCATGCTTTAAACCTAATCAGATTCAGTTCTCCCCTCTCTTTCTCCACTGAACTCCATCCGATCCAACACTACCCACTAGTAGAGATAGTCTTCACTTACCAATAGTAATTGGGACTGGGAACTCCATTGTCAAGCAAAGCCATCATAAGTTGAAAACCCATGTGACCACACTGCTTAGTGATGGCAGTCCTGGTCGCCATCATTAAGCGAGAACTGCACGGAGTCATTAAGCAAGGACCTCCCTGACCATCACTTCCAATTTTCTGCCAGCTTCCCTGTTGAGTAAAACCAGCAGGAAAGGTCCAAATTCGGATCACCTGGCCATGACATACTACATTACAATACCATAATTACAAACTGGACACCAAGCACCCAGGTCATAATCACGGGACTGCAAGGACACTGTGCCCGCTGTAAGTACAAGGTTCAGCTATAACTACCAATCAATCAGTGTCATGGTTAAGTTTGAATAATTGTTAAATACATTGTCATTAAATAAGGAACGTTGTGTGTCCACCCTTCAGCAGATTAAAATATATGAAGATTTATCAGATCAGAGAAAGGTAGTACTACAAAAGAGCTGACAAAGAAAAAGAATCAAATAAAGGGACTCCAAACTTCTAGCCTTTCAAAGGCCATCAAAACCTGTTTCTTTCCTCTGTAGATCTTTATTTTTACCACGTCTCTTTCATTATCCTTATTTCAAGTCACCCACATTCCTCAAACTACTCTCTATATACAGCGTCCTTTACCTGATGTCATCTTCATTGAGCTTTCTTACTATCTCTTCAGAGTGCATAATGATACAGCTGCAGCTTTACTCTGCAGCAATGTTATTTGTCCCTAAGTGGAATCAGCAGGGGGAAAAAAGTAATTTTCAAAGCCACAATCCCTAATCTTGGAAGACAACACAATTCATGAGGTAATATACATTTGTTTTGGC